TTCCCCTCCTCCTCCTCCTCCTCCTCCTCCTCCTCCTCCTCCTCCTCCTCCTCCTCCTCCTCCTCCTCCTCCTCCTCCTCCTCCTCCTCCTCCTCCTCCTCCTCCTCCTCCTCCTCCTCCTCCCTCCTCCTCCCTCCTCCTCCTCCCAGTGAACTGTGAGGAAGTCCAGGGCGAGAGAGTGACTCCCGAGCGTCGAGGGTGCGGCGCTTCAAGAAGTTACGAGGAAGTCCCACGCGAGAGGGCGACCCCTGGCAGAAAGGGAAAGGTCGTCCGCGCGAGGACGGACGGCTCCTGGGAAACTGGTTGGGACATCTAAGCTGGGATCTGTGTTGCGAGGTAGTTCGGGGGCCAGGGGCGCAGTCTGAGGCTCAAGACTTCTTCCCCTACAACTGACCATTGCAGAAGACAATGGGCACCGAAAGAGGGAAGATCAACAACCCGCCCCCGTGCTTCCTGGCACGTTGAGGCGTGGCAGAATGCCAAAGTCTGCCTGGTAGGTTATCTTCATACTATATACATATTTTGAGTCTTGTATATGCTATATATATATATAAATATGTATATATATATATATATATATATATATATATATATCACTCGTACCAAAAGCAGGTCCCATAGAGTGCACTACGGGCCCCACACGTTGCCATGCTGATCAGTGCGCGTGCCATCGGCACGCCGATCAGAGAAAATGAGCGGTACATCTCTAGGAGCGGGGAAGGCGCCAGCCAGCTCAGATGTGTATATATACATATATATATATGTATAAGCACGGCCCTCCTTCTGCTCGCGGACTGCTGCGTACATCCCCCACCATACTCACCGAGGCTACTTCCGTCATGCTCGCTCGAGGATTGTGCTCATCCAGCATGGCAGCTAATGCCTAAACCCCCAATTCAAGCGTGCCCGTTCGAGGATGGCGCGCATCCCGCATGACAGCAAAGGCCTGAAACCAAATTCCACGCGTGCCCGCTCGAGGAAGGTGCACCTCCCGCATGGCAGCTACTGCCTGAACCCTTATTTCATGCGCGCCCGCCCGAAGATTGTGCAGTTCCCGCATGACTGCTCAATCCTGGGACCCCCATCCCACGCGCACCCGCTCGAGGACCGTGCACTTCCCGCATTCCAAGCCGCTGCTCCCAAGCGCTCAAGAACCTTCCAAGCAACGATCCCTCGCGGGAAACGGTGGATAGTTATGCGCCCCAAGCTTCCAAGACGGCCCGTGCAGGCAACCAAGGACACCAGGATGGCCAAGCATGCCTTGAAGACGGCCACAGATGGCCCCAAGGCGGCAGAATATTGATTCAAGACGGCCCAATTTGCCTCCAAAAGGGCCCAAACTGGCAACAAGAGGACCTCCAGCAGGATCGGCTAAAGCCAAGTCGTTGATTCCCGTCGCCGCCCGTCGACTTGGCCGTGTGGCGGGTCTGGCAGCTATGTACTCGCCGTCGCCGCCCCGTCGCCGCATCGTCGCCGCCCTGGATTGCTCATCGTAAAGTGCGCCGCGTAGATTGCGCCACAAAGATTGCACCGCACACCTGCTTCTTTCTAATAAAACGAATTCGGATCCACATCCCTCCCAAGGCCGGACTTATCCCCCCCCCGGGGATGAGCAAAGTACATACGATGATGTCAGATCGCTCAGTCGAAACATGAACTAATTTCATCCCAGCCAAACCAGTATCGATTCCGCCCTCATCCCTGGCCAACAACAGTGCAATGCGCGCGGGCTTCTTCATCTTCAAAGATATTGGTTCAAAAATCCCTCGCAAGAAAATTCGACGAAATGCACACGCGCGCGTCGTGGCGCGCGCATCACTGAATCTGTCATGAACCTCAGGTTTCGCAACGGTTTCGAATCGAATGTCCGAACACATAAACAACCAATGGCTACACAACAAGAGTGCTCAAACAAAACGTTAGCTCCACTGGCGGTGGGTCCCCAAAAATAGGGTGTCGACTCCAGAATTTAAAAAGATCCATCCACACCTTCAATATAGGAGTTCCCAAACTCCTAGATTGAAACAAAAAACAAAAGTTGAGTTGTCAAACTCCAGATTGACATATTGACCTTTCCCAATATTGGGGTTCGATATTGAGGTCTTGGTCCAATATCGGGGTTCCAACCCCGATATTGGGGATTCCGACACCCGGTATTGGGGTTTTTCATTCCGGGGTTGGGAAGTCCAATATTGGACTTTCGATTGGCCTGCAAAAACGGAGGTTAGAGACATATTTCCTCCTCCTCCTCCTTCTCCTCCTCCTCCCTCCTCCGGTTGCTGCCGATCTTCATCGCTTAAATCCACGCCCGCTCAAAACAGTCACCAAGAGGCTCTGGTGACTGATTCGGGCCGGGCGCCCGTTGCGAATAACATTGTCCTCCTCCTCCTCCTCCTCCTCCTCCTCCTCCTCCTCCTCCCTCCTCTGGTTGCTGCAGATCTTCATCGCTTAAATCCACGCCCGCCCATCACAGTCACCAAGAGGCTCTGGTGACTGTTTTGGGCCAGGCGCCCGTGGCAAAAAAGACCGTCCTGGGGAGGTCCTCCCGCCTCCTTCCCCGTTTTCAACATCCTCGCTCCTCCTCCTCCTCCTCCTCCTTGTCCTCCTCCTCCTCTAACTCCTCCACCCGCCCGACACGACCGGTCCACAAAGGCAAGATCGTTCTACCTCGCCAGCTGCGTCCGACTTTAAAGTCCCGCCCACCCGACCCGGCGCTCGCCCGACCCGACCAGCCCACTAGGGCAAGCGCGTGCTACGCGCGTGCTACCTCGAGAGCTGCGTCAACCTTTAACGCCCCGCCCGCCCGACCCGACCGGCCCTGTAGAGCAAGCGCACGCTACCTCGCCAGCTGCGCCGTGCTTTCATGTCCCGCCCGCCCGACCCGACCGGGCCGCTAGGGCAAGCGTGTGCTACTTAGAGAGCTGCGTCAACCTTTGACGCCCCGCCCGCCCGACCCGACCGGCCCGCTAGGGCAAGCGCACGCTACCGCGAGAGCTGCGTCGTGCCTTGATTAATGTCCCGCCCGCCCGATCCGACGGGTCTGCCAGGGCAAGCGCGCGCTACCTCGAGAGCTGCGTCAACCTTTAAGCTCCCGCCCGCTCGACCCGACCGGCCCGCTGGAGCAAGCGCCTGCTACCGCGAGAGCTGCGTCGTGCTTTCATGTCCCGCCCGCGGGGCTCCGCCCCGCCGAAAACAGGCACCCAAGGCTCTTGATGACTGTTCTGGGCGGCCGGCCCAAAACAGTCACCAAACGCCTCGGGTGACTGTTTTGGGCGGGGGCGTGCCTTTCATGCTACGGCCTCCTCGTCCTCCCCCACCTCCTCCCCCTCCCCCACTCTGCCCGTTGTCTCTCCCCTGGGAAGTGCGAGCTTTTCCCTTTTCCCCCCTGGCCCGGCCTGCGGCCTCGTAAGTTCCATATTGGAGCTCAAACGTTCAAACCCCAAGATTGGGCTTGAAGCTCAATATCGAGCTCAGACTCAATATTGAGATTTTTAACCTTCAATAATTGAATATTCAGTTCTGGAGTCCAGTATTGAACCTTTCAACAACTCCAAGATTGAGATGTCGGCGGCCGAATTCAATTCCGAGGTTTTGAACTCAAATATTGAGGTCGCCGATTGAATATTTCAATTTTCAATCGGCCGGGGACCCACCCAGGGATTGGTTACAAAAAAATGCGCTCGCGCTCTTGCGAACTCTAAAGAGGAAGCCCTCAGTTTTCAATATGTTCACCGAATTCGACGAAACGTCTCCCTCGCGTGCGCATGTCGGAATCATTCGAACGCCCTTGCGCGCGCGCTGTCACAAGAACCCCTTGCAAAGAACAGGACGCAGCGCACGTGTAAGTAAAACACGGGACATCGTGCATGCCGAAATCCTTCCCAAAGCCGAACACGAATAGTGGGCAGTCAAACAACCGTGGCAGCGAGGACCTCCCAGGAGGGCCCCCCAGAAGGCGAACACGAGTTGTGTGTGTAGCGGTATCGATAGCTTCCCAGACATGTTCTTCCTTGTGTGATGTTTCAACGCGCGGTCCCCTGACGTCCCGACCACTTCCCGGGGACCGGCCGTCCATCCTGCGTAGTGTTAGGTCGGGCGCGTCCCCCTACAGGCGGAGTTTGGACGAAAAATAAGAAGTACCCCAAACAGAATCAAGCATAGCCAAGCAGAGTCGAAAAAAATCGTCCCAATGTTATTTTTTTGGAGTTATCCTTGAATACTCCCCCTGTAGAGGGACAGGCCCGACGTAGGCGTAGTGTCTGGGCGGTCCCAGGGCCCAGCGAGGGCCCCCCGAGGCCGGCAGCAGCCTGTGCCTCCCCGTCGAGACTCGTCAGCGACGCGAGCATGCGATGGCCCTGCCTCGGAGGGGCCTCCGAACAGGGAAGAGCACCATAGAGGAAGAACAACACCACATGAGCAGAAGCTTTTGGCGCTCCGCGCGGACTTCTTGGAGCGCGCCAGGAGGCGGCGCCGGAGGCGCCGCCGGGGGGCCCAGGCGCAGATCCAGGAAATCCGCGCGGAGCGCCAAAGGTTTATGGTTGTGTGGCTCTTGTTCCTTGCTCGGGTTCCTCGGGTCGCCCGATCTGGTGCCTCGCTTGGGTTCCTCGGGTTCCCTGGTCTTGTTCCTTGCGTAGGCTCCTCGGGTTCCATGGTCCGTGGTCTTGCTCGTCGGCTTCTCGGGCATTGCAAAGCAATGCTGAGCAGCAGTGCCAAGTACTGCGCCCCTGCAGTAGGAAGCTTTCCCTTCTTCGAAGCACGGCGACCTGCTCGCGAGGGCCGCTGCCGCGGCGCAGCGCGGGGGGGACGAGGCCGACGGCGCGCGCGCCCCCGAGGGCGGGCAGCTTGCGCACCCGTCCGCGCCGTCGTCCCCGTTGGTGGCACGTCGGCGTCGTCTTCGTCGTCGTCGTCGTCGTCGTCGTCGTCGTCGTCGTCGTCGTCGTCGTCGTCGTCGTCGCCGTCGCCGTCGCCGTCGCCGTCGTCGTCCGCGCCGTCGGCCCCGTTTCTGGCGCGCCGCCCGCCGGGGGCACTCCGAGCCGTCGCGGCGGGCCGCGCTGCGGCCCCGCCCCGCTATACAGAGGCTGATCCTCGGCCGGGGTGCCCAGGCTGACTCGCGCGGAAAATCTCGGCGGGTCGGCGCCCCAGACGGGGCAGCGGCGCTGCGCATCCGCAGCCCCCATGCGACCTTCACAGGCTGGAGGGCTGGCATTGTGTGGACTGGCTTCCTGTCCCTGCGCCGGGTTGCACGCGAGTGCGAGGCTGGGATTTACACATGTGCCGACCTCTCAAGAACAAAGGGGGGGGGCGTGGATTATATGTGTCTAAGTTGGAGCCCCAGGGGCCCAGGGGGCCCGATTAGATGATTAGATGTCTACATGTGCCACCGCCCGTGGTCCAGGTGAGCGTTTGTTCCCTCCGGGGTAACGGTCATTATTTCCCCGGGGGGGCGGTCGGGCGGAAGGTAAAAATAACGGCGGCCGCGGCGTGCACCCGCTAGGCTGCGTCCGCGCCACGGCCGCATCAATCGCCCGTGTGCACCAGTCCTTGCGTACACGACAGTGTCCAATGCCTGCGTGCAACACACCGCCGCCTGTGCACACCGCAAAGTCTCCGTACACCACAACAGCCGCGTGCACCGCAGCACCACGTCACCGATGTACACCGCAATGCCTGTGTAAACAGCAGCTGCCGTATGGGCAACAGCGCTTGCGTACACCCCATTGCCTGCGTGTCCCAAAGCGCTTATGTACACCACGGCGCCTGTGTACACCATTGCAACCATGTGTACGGCAACGCCGAAGCACGCCACAATGCCTCCGTGCACCAACGCCTTTGTACGCCCGAACGCCAAACGTGCAAGGCCTCCTTGCGAGGCTCGTCACAGACCACAGGGGCCTTCTGGACTCGGCATTCATTGCCTCCGCCTCCTTCTCCACCTCCTCCTCTGCCTCCTCCTGCATCTCCTCCTCCCTGTCCTCTTCCTCTCCTATTTCAGCGGTCCTGGCGGCCTTCGTTCGGGGAGGGGAATACGGAGCGGGGGGAAGACAGCAGGAGGAGCAAGAGGAGCAGCAACAAGAGGAACAGCAGGAGCCTCACGACGGGGTCGAAAGCTCCAGCGCCGTGGAAGTCCCAAAACGACGCTTGCATTCAGGCGCTCGTGCTCCCAGCGCAATGCTTTCACTGGTGCCAACATTGGTCCCAAACATGCGACGTCCTAATTTGTTCAGGACGGCGTCCCTGAAGTTCCGACCCTTTCCCCGGGACCGGTTTTTCGTCCCGAATCGTTTTTTTGACGGTTCCAAAACCTGGCGAGGGCCCCCCTGGGACGAAAATACCTTACAAACCTCCCGTTCACGTAGCACCGCACAGGTTGCATCGCGTGCCCTGCGCAGAAAATAAAACGAAACACTAACTGGTTGGGCCCCACGCGCGCCAGCGTGCTCTTGCTCGGCATCGGTCCCCCCGATCCCCCGCCCTCCGAGGCGGGCGGCCGTGGCAGTGAGTCCGCCCGACCTACGTACGCGCACCGCAGTGACCTGCAATGCAATACGATTGTTAGTCGGCGGCGAGCGAGGGGGGAAATGAGAAGGAGAAGGCCTTGTCAGAAGGCGGCGGGACTTCTCAGAAGCCCTCGCACCTTCTGAGAAGTTTGCGTTGTCTTCGGGGAAGGCTCAGAAAACCTCTCAGAAGGCCGGGGGACTTCCGAGCCTTCTGAGAAGGCCTTCTCCTTCTCTTTCCCCCCCCTCGCTCGCCGCCGGGTTAGCGTTACACGGGGGGGCGGCGGGTAGCGAGCGTTACGCCAGGGAGAAAAAAACGCTCACCAGGAAGGTCGGCTCCCCAAACGGTGGCATATGTCATCGCACTGGGCTTGCAGACGTGCTCCAGCGGACTTCTGCGTGGATTTCTGCGTGGATGTTTGCCCGAAGCGGCGAGCGAAAAACGACATGAATTTCGTTTGGATTCTTTTTGGTCTTCTTTCCTGGCCCAAGAAACCCGCACGAAATTCACCTCGAAATCCGGAACGAGACTCTCCAGGACAATCCGGGCCCACCCGATCGTTTTCCGAACGAAATCCGCTCTTTGAAGTGGGCGCCATGGCATCTGTGGCCGACTCCAAAAACCCTGAGCGCCAGAATGACTGCATCTCTTGGAGGTCCGAATTCTACGTCCGCTTTCCCTCCGCGCCCTCCCGCCGCCTCCAGCCAGGAAAGAGAGAGAGAGAGAGAGAGCAAACTCTCGATCAGCGCGCCGTGCAGAAACCCGAGCCTCGGAGCTGACTGCCTTCCGAGCCACCCCAACGCACCCCCCCGAAGACCCGAACTTCGGGCTGGGGGGGGGTACGAGCTTCACATGTGTTTTTGTCAGATGTTCCCCGATCCCCTCCTCCTCCTCCTCCTCCTCCTCCTCCTCCTCCTCCTCCTCCTCCTCCTCCTCCTCCTCCTCCTCCTCCTCCTCCTCCCCTGAAAATGGAGGGCACATCGGGGCTTTCGGGCTGGGCTGGGGTGGTCTGGTGGGCGGCGAGGAGCAGGATGGACAGGCCAGGCGGGTTCCCGTGTTGCTACGCAAGCGTGGCGGCGAACTGGCGCTGGAGGTCCTCCACGCTCGGGGCCTCGCCCTCGACGTTGATCACCCCGAAGTCGGTGTTGTGGGTCGCGGGGCTCTTGAGAGCCTGGGGGAAGAGGAGGAGGAGGAGGAGGAGGAGGAGGAGGAGGAGAAGGAGGAGGAGAGGAGGAGGAAGGAGGAGGAGGAGGAGGGGAGGAGGAGAAGGGAGCAGGAGGAGGAGAGGAGGAGGAGGAGGAGGAGGAGGAGGAGGAGGAGGAGGCCCGGATCTGCCACGACTTCTTCCACCCGTAGGCTTTTCCTAGATTTCTGCCCTCAGGGGGGGGGGGGGGCGTCTGGGGCCCCCGCGGGGCCATCAAACACGGATCCGGGGCGACAAACGATCCCCAGGGAAGCGGCCCAGACTCATGGGGCTGTGGCTTGCCAAACTTGCAGCAGCGGGTGTCCTCAGGGTGTGAGGTCGCAAACGATCCATCTGCACGCGGTGCAGAGGGATCGCTTGTCTGGTATGGTCCCATGGCGCTGCACGGTGGGCTCGGCTGCGCGAGAGCCGGCTGCCCCCGCCCGAGAGTGCGACCTTCCAGAGCGCGGCGTGCCGAGATCACTGCCTGCGGTGCGGCAGCGGCGGCATGCGTGCTCGAGTCCCCGCCGCCACGCCCCGCTGGAAGCCGCGCACTCTGGCGAAGGCTCTGTCTTACGTGTCGCCGACTTGCGTGTGCACCAAGCCTAGGCAAAAGGCAGGGATAGGGCGGCCAGGACAAGTGTGGACGGATAGGTGGCATCCCGCGAGGCCTGGACGAGGACCTCCGAGAGCGCCGACCGGAGCGTGTCCCCCTTGGCCTGATCCCCCCGCGAAAGCTCCACCGCTTTGGTGGAGGCGTCGAGGTCGAGCTGGAAGGCGGTGCCCAAATAGCCCGCCACCCCGCCTTCCTGCGACGGATGACGGCTCGCATTCTAACGAGAGACCCCAGAAGCTACACTGAGGCGGCGCGGCAACCCTCCCAGATCTCCGACGACTTTGAGGCTTCTCAATGGGCACGAACACCAAAACAGGGGTTTGCCTCCACCAGGAGAAGATGATCCTAGATTCTGGTGCTGGTGGTGATCTTTCGGCAGTCCAGAGAGCCCGAACCATACCACCATCAACGAAGTTGGATGAGGAGGAGGAAGAGGAGGAGAAAGGAGGAGGAGGAGGAGGAGGAGGAGGAGGAGGAGGAGGAGGAGGAGGAGAGGAGGAGGAGGAGGAGGAGGAGGAGGAGGAGGAGGAGGGAGGAGGTGGTGGGAGGAGGAGGAGAGGAGGAGGAGGGAGGAGGAGGAGGAGGAGGCGGATGAGGAGGTGGACGACGAGGAGGAGGAGGAGGACGAGGACGAGGAAGAGGAAGAGGAGGAGGAGGAGGGAGGGAGGAGGAGGAGGAGGATGAGATGAGGATGAGGAGGAGGAGGAGGAGGAGGAGGAGGAGGGGAGGAGGAGGAGGGGGAGGAGGAGGAGGAGGGAGGAGGAGGAGGGAGGAGGAGGAGGAGGAGGAGGAGGAGGGAGGAGGGCGGCGGGCTGTGAGCGCCAAAGCTTCCTGCATAGTTGTTGTCGTACGGCCCCCCCATCAGTTGCCCTGGCCGCACGACGGTGGGCGATTCAGAAGTGAGGCCCAGAGGGACGGGGCCCTACAATCAAGAATAGGAGGGTGGCCCCAGGGTTGAAGGTGCCTTGCTCGGGAGCCCGCATCTTCAGGGCTCCATCCCTCGGGGCCCCCCACATCTGCACCGCCGAGATGGTGTAGCTGAAGCCGCTCTGCGCCGCCGCGGCCCGGATGGAGGCCTCGCCCGCCGCGAACGAGTCCAGCACGCCCGCGACGTTGAGGATCGAGAACGGGAAGCCGCGCCGGCGCTCCTCTCAGGACCCACGCCAGGCGCCAGATCCGCGCTCCCAAAACGGCCTCCGAAGGCGCCAGACGGCCCAAGGGCGCCCGCAGACGGCCCAAGGCGCCCCCGAGACGCCCCAAGGCGCCCCCGAGGCGCCCCAGCAGGCTCCCAGCACCCCCCCAAGCAGCCCCCAGGTGCGCCCCAAGGAGGCCTCCGAAAGGCTCTGAGGAGGGGCCCCGACTCACATACCCACTCACATACCCGACACCCTGCAGACGTGTACCCCGCGACGCGAGAGGAATTCACGAATCAGAGCGAAGCATGAAGTCAATGCCGCCTGGTTTGGCGACGGGGCAAGCCGATTGTGTACGGAAGCTCGGCGGCGAGCCCAGGGAGGAAGCGAGAGAGGACAGGCCTTGTGAGAAGGCGGCGGGGCTTCTCAAAGTCCTCGCGCCTTGTGAGAAGTCTTCTGCGTCTGCGGGGAGGGCCAAAACAATTTCTCACGAGGCCGGAGGCCTTTCGAGTCCTTTGAGAAGGCCCGCCCCCTCTACCTCCCCCCCTGGGCTCGACGCCGAGAAGCTGGACCCGTCGCTAATCCACGCGCCTCGATCCACGTGTTCGTCTCTTCGATCCTCCGACACGCCGATGCTCGACAGCAGCACCAGCCGCTTGAACGTCCCAGCCTCGGCGGCCTCGCCCGCCGCGCGGGCGATGGCGCTGAGGCCTCGGTTGTTGACGGCGTCCGGCGTGTTGAGGCCCGCGGCGGTGAGCTCGTCCACTGCCTTAAATCATGCTTAGAAGCTGGGGGCGTTTTTGTTCCCCCGTTTTCGAGACTTACGTTTTTTTGTCCGCATATTGGGCAAAATGCTCCCCGCTGCGATTCTCGTTCGCGCCGCTGTTCGATGTGGTTGCGATTGTTGTGCTGCCGTTTGTTGTCTATTTGGGGCTGAGGCTTCTAGGTTTTGGATGGCCGACGACCGACACGTTGAAGACGATGAAAAGAATACCCCCAGCGTTTTCGGGGGCGTCCAAGAGGGGGGCGTCCAAAAGGGCAAGAGGGGATATGGCCCGAGGCATGTACGCGGCCCAGGGGGGGGAGCGGAGACGTATTGAAATAAGGAGAAGCTCCATTAAATCTGGGGAGATATCATGGCCACCGCCATGGTATCCACCCCCTAGTCATCACCCCCCTCTTGGCCGCCCCCGAAAAAACGCCCCCAGCGCTTGTCAGCATAACTAAGTCACTGGCCCTGCGGACGTCGAAGCCGTTTCCGCTGAGCGCCTCCCAGAAGCGGCTGGGCACGTCGTCGGGAGCCACGCCCCCGCCCGCCCAGAGTCCTGGAAGAAGCCGACAAGGCTGCATGCGCATGTACGGTCAGGGTCGGGCACGCGCTAGCATGGATTAGGGACGGGTGGATCTGGCGCGTGAGAAGCAGAGCCAAGGCTCGGGGAAAGTATTTACCCTCCGAGCCACGAAGCGAACGCAGCCCCATTCAGCCACGGAGCGTGCCGATTCTGCACGGGAGCGGGACCCATCGCTCACCCACACGCCTGAATCCATGTTTGCGCTTCTCTAGGGGAACACAGAGTCACATCAACATAAAAACCCGGAGGTCCGCGCGGATTTCTCGCATCGGCGTTGGACCCCCCTCCCTGGCGCGCGGAGCGCGCCAGGGGCGGCGCCGGAGGCGCCGCCGGGGGGCTCCAGCGCCGATCCGAGAAATCCGCGCGGACCTCCGAGATTTTTTATGGTTATGTCACTCTTTGTTCCCCTATTCTCTGACCTGAAGTTTCCAATGCACTCTAAATTTAAGGTATTGGCGTTTGCAATATTTAAGCTTAAATCTAATATCTTACACATAACTTTTGCTTGAAAGTCATTCGAATGACTTTCAAGGGTCCGCTCAGATTTCCCGGGTCGGCGCTGCGTCCCCCCCCGGCCCGGAGCGCGGTACGCGCCGGCGGCGGGGGCGCCGCCAGGGGGCGCCCCAGCGCCAGTATAGACGCGCGAGCCTCCGGGCGCCTTGCGAGGGGGAGGGGGGCGGCCGGACCATGCAGAGGACTCGCGAGCGACCTGGGCCTGACCCAGGCTTGCCCTCCTCCTCCACCTGACAGGGGACTGGCTCAGGGGGGGAAGACTAAAGGGGCCCCAGAAGACAGAAATAAATACACACAAATAAAAATATTCCTCACATGTTCCTATAGTTTCTGAGGTTTTGTCTTCCCCCCCACTTCCCATATTTTCGCATCTTTTCCTGGGGATCGACGATGAATTGTGTCTGTGTGCTTTTCCCCCTCCTGAAAGACACTGGCCTGGACTCGGCCAAAGACGTCGCCCGTAGATCGGCGAGAGGAGCTCGGGACAACGGACACACGCGATCTCGATCGAAGCGTGTGGGCCCGGGCCCCGATCGGCGACGAGTGGGAGCACTTGGGGTCGATGCTGGGACTCTGGCGTGCTCGCTTTCGTGCGACACAGGCGTGCTCGCGTCGTTTGGCGGCGCGCAGAGGGGGGTAAGGGGGAGGGGGGAAGGCTTCTTAGAGGCACCCCTGCTTCTTAGAAGGCGCGGGCCTTCTCTCTAGACGTAAGGCCGAGGCCTTCTAAGAAGCAGGGTGCCTCTAAGAAGCCTTCCCCCCTTCCCCTACCCGCGCCGCCAAATCGTAATTCATTCCGGACGAAAGGCTTTTGGTTAGTTTCGGTCCTGGAGGGCCCTCGCCGGCCCTCGGGACCATCAAAAAACGACTCGGGACGAACAACCGGTCCCGGGGAAAGGGTCGGGACTTCCAGAGGCGGCGTCCGGAAGAAATGAGGACGTCGCATGTCTGGGAACGTGATCCCCGAGACCCCAGAGGCCCAGACCCCTCGTTCTCCGACGGTCCCAGGGCCCCGCGAACGCTCCCAGAGGCGGAAAATGACCAGAACACCGCCCCACTTGCGATTTTCCCTTGCGGCGAGAGGTCGAACGGGTGGGACAGTCCGCCCCCCCCCCGTCGGCGCTCCCGGTGAGTTTGCGCAGTGCCCATCTCCCCCCCCGCCTCGCACAGGAGGAGGAGGCGGAGGAGGAGGAGGAGGGGGAGGAGCAGGAGGAGGAGCAAGAGGGGGAGGAGGAGGAGGAGGAGGAGGAGGAGGAGGAGGAGGAGGAGGAGGAGGAGGAGGGGGAGGAGGATACCGCGACCGCAAAGCCAAACGTGCACAGGGGCGCCGTGGGTGTCCGGCCTCGCGCCTGCGACGATTCGCGCCTCCAGAGTTCTCTGGTTGGGACCGCTCGAAGCAGCGTACCGACCCAGACCTGCGACGTCCTGATTGTTTCAGAATGGCGTTCCTGGAAGTCTCGACCCTTCCCCCGGGACCGGTTTTTCGTCCTGGGTCGTTTTCTGACCGTCCCGAGGCTTGGCGAGGGCCCCCAGGGGCCGAAAATGGCTAAGAACCTCTTGTACGACGCGAGCATGTCTGGATACCGATCTACAAAGTTATTTTCTTTGAGGTCCAGTGGGGAGCGCGGAGACGCCGGTGCACACCAGCGCCGCCGCGGCGCCGCGGAACACCGCCGGCAGCCCCTGGGGCGCCTGTGCCGCGCTGGCCTCGACGATCTCGACCTCTCACACGGGGTTATCACTGGGTCCATTCATGGTTTATGTATCGCCCATTGAAATCCGCGCATGGTCGCGTCGTTAAAACATGTGGACGATAGGTTCTTGGCCATTTTCTGACCCGGGGGGCCCTCGCCGGGCCTCGGGACCGTAAACGACTCAGGACAAAAAACTGGTCGCGGGGGAACGGTCGAGACTTCAGGGACGCGGTCCTGAAAGAATCAAGACGTCGCACGTCTGGGAATGCTCCGGTATGGTTGGCATTCACTACATGTGGGCGTACTGTGTCAGGAATGCGACGCTCGAGCGCTGTCCGTTGGCGGTAACGCATCGCCCAGCCACAGTTGTCGCCGGCACGAGCGCAATAGAGTCTCCACGTTGCGAAATTCAAAAAATGGATTCACATGTCGGGCAAACGGAAAATGTCAGTTAACATCGTGAAAGCAAACATGTAAATTCACATGTTGGAAGATACCAGAATGGGAGTTCGCATTTTTCAATGCTCGTATATTATGTTTGATTAGCAAGCTGAAGATGTGAATGCACATGTTGGAGAATCGCAACATGTGCATTCGCATTTTGGGGAAGCCCAAAATATGAATTTTCAGGTTGGAAACCCGCACTGAACTTTCAATGAACCCAGTGTGATGGCCAGCGATGTGGCAAGGCGGGCAGCGATGGCTGGGCGATGCGTCACCGCCAACTGGCAACGTTTGAGCGTCGCATTCCGACCTGCATTTGTCCACGCGTGATGGATGCCATCCGTACCAGAGCATGTGACAAGGCAGTGCGTGGACCATGAACAGATCAGTTAGCATACAGTTCGGGGAACGTTCCTGATCGTAGTGCTGACGACATAAGACGCTGCGCAAACATCGAGTCTCCATATCATTTCCGGCGTTAGACATCTGTACAGGATACTTCCCCGGGGCCGGTTCTGCATTCAGGGGTCGTCTGCTGACGGCCCACGGGGGCCCGGCGAGGGCCCCACAGGCCGCCCGTGATCTATGCTTCACGAAGGGAGGAGGCCTTGGGAGCACGCGCAGTTCGACACACGACGCGCGGGTCACGCATACGGTATACGCGCAGAAGCCTCAAGAATGAGGTCGGAGCAGACGGCGTCGGAGGATCACGCCGCAACACCGGAGCATCGCCGATGCCTCGGCGACAATGGCGATGCATCGGCGACGTCGGCGTGGAGGAAGTCGGTCTTCACGACGAGCCGCATCTCCGGTGCATCGGCGATGCGGCGCGATCCTCCGATTCCCATCTACATCTGCCCCCGACGTCATCATTTTCTCTTTACGTCGACCCCCACAGGGCTCGACCAACTCCCCTGGACCAACTTTTTCCACCCCCGGTCGTTAATTACTATGCTTCCGGGCCCCTGCGAAGGCCCCCACAGGACGAAAATAGCCAAGAATCCTCCGACATTCTTGTGTTCTTCAGCTCCTGCAAGGCCGTCCTCCTCGCGCAGATGACCGGCTGCTCGTACGCAGCTCCATGTCCCCCCAGCACTCCCGCGCTCACCTACATGGTCTGATCGGGCTCCGCCTTGTCTCTTTTCTCGCCTCTTGCTCTTTCGCTTCGTGCCTGCATTAGCTTCTGGTGCAGCCCACCGCGCGTTTTGCTCGGCGCCTGACCGCCCCGCACACCCTGGCGCCCGCGGGCTTAGACAAGGTTTCTGTCATGTCCCGAGGAAGTATGTCTGCCCAGACATGCGACGTTCTGAACATTGTCAATGCACAGCCCCTGGAAGGGATAACTTTTGTGCCAAAGAGGCCGCGGAAAGGGTAGCGTATCAGGCTCTGGTCGAAACCTTGATTAAACCGTTCTATCCACGGTTCCCCTCAACACGCCCTCGAGGTCGCCAAGTCCACTCTGGAGCCAGACCTCGGAGGGAAACGCTGTCTAAAACAGCTTCTCACATGGAATGGGGGCAGCTAGGCTACTGAGGCCCTTCTCCCCTCAAACACTCATCTTCCTACACTCTACTACACAGGCAGGTAACCTCCTCACTCGCTCCTTTCTCACCCGCCTGGGCTCAAGCCTCCATCTCTCTACGAGCGTACCAAGCCGACCATCTTCGTGAATTTCTCCAGCTTCTCCCTGGTCGTCGGCTCGGGTTCTCGTAAGCGCAGACCTTGCAGAAATGCAATCGGCCTTCTTCGCGTCACTGCTGCAGCGCCAGGAAGCGGATCTCCACGCGCTTCATCTTTCCTGGCCCGCGCTTCTTCACGATGTGTAGCGCGCTGCTGCTGTCGCTCATCGCGAGCAGTATCGTCTCCCCCTTTCCACTCCTCGAGTAACAATGCCAGTTCGAAAGTCTCCGCTGCTCCCGAACCCAGCGCGTAAAGCTCGCTCTCTGCCGAACTCAATGCCACGCAGCCCTGACGTCTCGGCCGCGACAGGGCGGTGCACCCGTGGTACTTGAGGATGCCGCCGCTCGTCGAGATCCTGTCCGTCTTGTCATCGGCCCAGTCTGCGTCCACCCAGCGCTCCACTGCAATACCTCCTTTGTCCGGAATCAAATGCATCTTGTAGTCTGGTGCGCCTGCAAGGTACCGCGCCATCTCCTTCAGCCTCCTCAGGTCCTTCCCCGTTGGTCCTGTCATGCCCCCCCTTCGGACTCCAACTCCACGTTGAACGTCAGGACGGCGGCCCGCCAACTGCAATAGCTTCCCCACGAAGGTCCTGCAACGACTGTGGCCCGCCGCGTCTAGCTTCACCTCGTCGCTCTTCACGTGCACCTCGTTCTTGGTTTCGGGCAGCGTTGCTGGCTTCGCCGTTTCCAGGCCCAGCTCCTTCATGATGTCGTCGATCAAGACCGTCTTGCCGCTGATCGCGTGGCCGCCCTCGACCTTCTCCACCTGCGTGCTCAGGAACGTCGCCTGGTCTCCGTTCTTGGCGAGCTTCACCACGTCCGATAAACTTCAGCCTCTCCCCCATCACCTCTAACAACATGTCGACTTCGCCGCTCGGCCCAGTGATCGGGAAGTCGTCGGCGTGTCCCCCTGCCTTCATCCTGTTGCTCAGCTTCATGAAGAGACGCCCGTCGTTGTGACCCCTGACCATCTCAGGCTCCTCCATGGCGTTCGCACTGTGGTCCTCCCAAGCCTTCGGCGCTCCCTTGAGTCCTGGAAATGCGCACAGCGCCTCCCGAACATGTCCTTCAGGTACTCCTGTTTCTGGTGGCGGCTCCAGGAAGATACGGTCCTCAGTGAGCGGTTCCTGGTAGAAAGCCCCACTGCAGTCGCCAAACGCCACCGCGCGGTCGCGCAACTCCGCGTTGACCATCGTCTCCTTCAGGTGCGGAAGTGAGGGGGTCGTGGCCACGAAGTTCTCGTGGCCGCGCACCTGCTGCTCGAAGCCCCTCGTGGTCCACCGACTCTTCTTGCTGCCGTCCGCCCGGTAGGTGTCGACCCACTTCCCCGTCGAGAACTTTGGCGTCGTGCCCTTGATCGGGATCATCCTTGCGATCTGCTTGCCGTCTCCTGCGATCTCCTCCAAGTGCTCCTTCCTTGCCTCCGTGAAGTCGCTCTCCAGTGCGTATGTCTCCTCGTCCTCCATCTGCGGCTTCTCGCGCATCTCCCTGACCGCATTAGTCACCTGGGCGGTAGTGACCCTGGGCTTTTTGCCTTCGCTTCCTTCTCCGCCTTCGCGTTCTCGCTTGGGACTTCTCTCTGCCAGCGAAATGCCCCACTGACTGCGGTGGCGCCGCCCTTGGCGTCGACGGCCCTACCTCCTCGTCCCTGGACCTCTTCGCCTCCAGTCGCCTCTTGTCCATGTCCACGTCGTCCTACGGTGCTGCCGTGCTGCTGCTGCTGGCAGTGGTGGAGCTGGCTGCGGCCCCACTTCTGCTGTTGCCGCTCCTGCTGCGGCTGCAGGTGCCGCCCTCGGATCCATGTACTTCGTTCGTGACACGAGTAGGATCGGTTCCTGTAGTGACCTACGCATTGGTGGCCCCCCCCTCGCGGTTGGCGCCGGTTCCCAAGGTGCCCACTTCATCTTGTCGAACAACTCCTTGTCCCAGCGTCGTCTCTCCACCTTCCTCTTCACCGCCCACGCTCCAGTCGGTGTTCCGATCAGGTGCTCCACCGTCCTCGCGTCGCGTCCTAGCCAGGTGCCGTCCAGCCACGACAACTCCAGTTTGTTGGCCTGGGCCCCTGGCCTCCTGCAGATCGCTGCCTCGCCGACTGCTACGACGGGCTCCTGGTACTTGAGCATGTGGGTCTTCTCGTTGGGCGTGAGGTTGGTGTCCTCCCTGGCCATGCATCTGTGGTAGAGCCACGCTGCAAGTCTCGGCAACCGCGTGAGGAACGGGGAGTCGGGCTTGAGGTCGTGGTTCAGCTTCCTGTTGACCTGCAGCATCAACGTCCTTGCCTGCTTCCTCACCAACTGGATGGCTCTCTTGGCCCTGCCGTTCGCCTGGCCGCTGCACCTCTCCGACTGTTGCCTCATGGGGATCGTTTCACAGATGTCATCTTTGATCGCCCTGGCCCCGGCTGCCATGATGAACGACAACTCGGCTGCTCCTCCTGCTGTAGTTCCACTCGTGAATGTCCCAGTTCGGCTAGCCACGAAACTGCAGCGGCCACGGTGTAGACGTCGTCTCGACCTTTCTGGATGATGGCCGCGCTCCAGAGGCTCCGTGTCGAAGCACCGCTGCCCACTGCGGACTCGAAGTTGACGGGATCCCCCTCGATGCCCGCCTGGCCGTAGTCGAAGCTCAGCAGTGGGATCAGCTCGTCGCGCCTGTCCTTCTTGTAGGCTATGTCGTTCGCCTTCGCTCCCACCCAGATCTCACGCCATGAGTCAGCTGGGTAGTGCGTCAGCTGGTGCCTCTCGATCTCGTCTGAACTTGGCTCTCGAGGTCCAGGTAGTCCACTGGCTGTCGTCTCGGGTTCCACCGTCTCATGATCGCCGGGAACTGCCACTGGCCCCGCTGTCGGTGCATCCGCTAATGCATCTGCAGTTCCTCGTGATACGACCTGCGGTTGCTGCCGCTCTCCTGGGTAGCACTCGCGGTCCTCCTGCCGATGCTCGCTGAAGTGCGTCTCCGTCTCCGCCCCCCTCACCTGGTCGCGCTCGTGCGACTGCTGCCCCGATCGGCGCCAGTAGCGTCATCTCCGCGTGGACCTCCTCAATGTCATCGTGCATCTTGGTCCAGCACTCCAGTGCGTAGTGGTTGTTGATCTTCTTAAGATTGACCAGTCCTGCCGTTTCGTGCCTCAGCAGTCCTCCTTTGCCGTCGTATCAAGCCACGCGGTTCTCCATCCTGCTGCAGAACTTGCCCGCGCTCATGATGGGCTGCTTCACGTCAGTGACTTGGAACTCCATGGCGATGCGTCTGTCGCCGGCTATGTAGAGCGCCACCGTCTGCGATCGGTGGTGCCTCAGTGGCGTGCCGCTCGCGACCGCCAGGTTGGGGTTGCGTCCTGGTTTGAGCTTCACGTTCGGGAAGTCCCTGATGCTGGACACGTGCTCATCTGCGAAATTTCCCGTCAGCATCCAAAACGAACGCCACATGCCGTCTCTCATCATGCTGTAGACCTTTCTCTCGTGCACCTTTGGCTCCCCGTCCTTCACAACTGCGAGGATGAAACCACCTCCCCACTCTTGCGCGCGCTCGCCGACCGCGGTGATCGCTCGAACTCCTGCTCCCGCTTGGCTGGCTGAGGGTGCTGCTGTAGCTAGTGCTGGACTTCCTGGTGGTGGAGTGCTGATGTTGCTCCCGCCGTCGTACATCGTGATCTCGTTTGCTCCTCCTTTCTGTCCCTTCTTGACCTTCTGCTCACCCTTGTCGTAGTTGGAGTTCTCCTGTCGATGCCAGCAGCCCCTAGCACAGTGCCCCCGTCTGGCCACAGGAGTAGCAACGCCGCGCCCCAGGCACTCCTGCCAGATTCCAGGCTGGCTGTCGCGTTGCTGCCGCCCTCGCCATGGGATTCGCGCCCTTGCCCTTCTGGTCTTTGCTCCTGCTCTTGCCTTTGTTGTCTCTGCCTTTGCCTTTGTCGTCCTCGCCCTTGCCCTCCGGATGCTGCCGTGTCAGCGCGTCCACCTCCATGGCTCCTAAGGTTCGGTTTCTTTTTACTGCCTTCGGCTCCAGGTCCTAGTGAGCTTGGCCACTTTTGCTGGTGCCCGTCCTCCTACACTGCCGCCGCTTGTAAGTGCTGCGTCGCGGCGCTGATCAGCTCATCGTGGCTTCTCTCGCTCTGCATCTGCAGTGCCGTCCTGATGTTCTTCGGAGCCTCATGCAGGTATATTTTCTTCTTGACTCCTGCGATGGACACCTCTCCTGGCGCTGTCTCGTAGCGCCTGATGTCGCGCTCCCAATCTGAGTGGCACTGCTCGAACCCCGCCAAATCCGAAGGGAAAGGGTTCACATTGAGAATCGCCGTCGTTATGTTTTGCGCTCTCATGGCCATCGCAGGCTCGTAGCGCTTGACAAAAGCTCGCCACGCCAGCGCTCCGTTCTGACCCTCTACGCTCCTGATCCGCATCTGCGCGCTGCCCTGCGCTGTCATGACCAGCGCGAAGAACATCTTCTTCGTTGCCGAAGCCCTTTCAGCTCCCAAGCGATGCAAGGTCTCCGCCACGTTGGTGTCTGGATCTCCTCGTTGCTCGGCTTCCTCTAGGAGATTCAGCGCCTGCGCCGTCTGGCCGCCCAGGTACGCCCTCATCACGAAGCTCCACTCCGTCCAATGCTCCTCCTGGCCGTCGAACGTGGGCGACTTCAGCCCAACACCCTGCCACTCAGCACCAGGCTCCGTCATGGTCACGTAGACTTCGTTCTGCACGTCTGTGGTCACGTAGACCTCGTCTTGCTCGTTTGTGGTCACGTAGACCTCGTCCTGCTTGTCTTTGGTCACGTAGACCTCGTTCTGCTCGTCTGTGGTCACGTAGACCTCGTCTTTCCGCTCTGTGGTCACGTAGACTTCGTCCTTCAGCTCTGTGGTCACGTAGACCTCGTCTTGAACTCCCGTGGTGGTCACGTAGACCTCTTCTTGCACTCCTGTGGTCACGTGGACCTCGTTCAGCGCTCCTGTGGTCACGTAGGCATCGTTCAGCGCTCCTGTGGTCACGTAGACCTTCTCCAGCTGCTTGGTCACGTAGACCTTGTCCAGCTGTTATGTCCGCTGGTTGCCGTGGATCGGTCGCCTTGCGGCCGCGGCCGCGAGAGCAATGGCCAGCGCCCCTAGCCGCGGGGGGGGGGCGCCCAGCGGGAGCTGGCCGTAGCCAGCTCCGCTACCATGATAACTTGTGTGCCAAAGAGGCTGCGGAAACGGGTAGCGTATCAGGCTCTGCTTTAAACCTGTTTATGCCCGTTCTGTCCACGGTTTCCTCAACAGGAAGTCCTGACCCTTTCAACGGGGTTGTCTTATTTCATCCTGGTTCGTTTTTCGACAGTCCCAAGGCCCTGGGGCGGAAAATGTCCTAAAACCTCGCGTTGTGATTTTTGTTTCGCGGTCAAGAAGGGATCGGAGGTCCGCGCGGATTTCTTGGGTCCGCGCTGGACCCCCTCCCTGGCGCGCTCGGCGCCGCCAGGGCGGTCCAGCGCCGATCCGAGGAATCCGCGGGGACCTCCGAGTTGTACGTTTATGTCGTTGTTCGTTCCCCTAAAATCATGTTTGGGTGGGCACTCGAGACTCACTTGCCGGCGACTCCGAAGGGTGTGGTTTGCGAAGGGTGTGGTTTGCAACCGGCACCCTGGGGGGCAACCTGGGGTGAGGGCGAGGACCTCGACAGAGCTCCCCGCCGCGCAACGAGGAGGCCCAACGAGGACAGCGTCGTGCAACCCAGGCCCCGACGGTGCCGATCTCAAACCACACCCCGGCGTAACCATACCATTTGCAGTCGCCGAGCCTGGGAGGCATGGGCGCTTTCTCCCTCCCGGGGCCTCGCCGGCGCGGCCCGGGCCCAGGAACTGGCGAAGGCGCTCGCCCGAGGCCTCGCTCCTCCCGGGCGTGCCGCGCAGGGGGGGCGCCTTTCGCTGGAGCAGGGGACTCCTCCTCCTCCTCCTCCTACTCCTCTTCTTCTTCTTCCTCCTCCTCCTCCTCCTCTTCCTCCTCGTCCTCCTCCTCCTCCTCCTCCTCCTCTTCCTCCTCCTCTTCCTCCTCCTCCTCCTCCTCCTCCTCCTCCTCCTCCTCCTCCTCCTCTGAGGAGGAGGAGGAGGCGGAGGAGGAGGAGGAGGAGGAGGAGGCGCACGAGGAGATGAAGCAGCCACTGTGCAGGTGTACCTTCTCTGCCGCTGACCTGATCGCGTCGTTAAACAATCAGGACGGGAAGTTCCGGCTATTTTCGGCCCGGCGGGGCACTCGCCGAGCCTCGGGACCGTCAGAAAACGACTCGGGACGAGCAACCGGTCCCTGGGAGAGGGTCGGAACTTCCAAGGGACGCCGTCCTGAAAGAATCAGGACGTCGCAGGTCTGGGATTGGACACGGCAGGCTCGCGCGGTGTCGGCGCGCGCAACAAAAAGCTTTCGACACCGCGTCGATCGTTCACAACCTTGAATCGATCGCGGCCCCGCATTAGGGAACCCTTGGATAAGGAACCCAGGGACTGGAAACCAGTGGAACTCCGATTGTGAATCGGCCATCGGTATCTCCGCCGCCCTCATCGGATAAGGAATCCTCCAGCCTCTGCAGCCTCCTGCGCACCTTCCTTAACGAACGTCCCTCCCTCAGTAGGATATCAACTACATAATTGGATTACCCCAGATGTTGTCGAGTCTGCGAGACATGCGTATGATCTTCGTGGATAGAAGAAAATCTTGCATACGTATCGAAGACGCAGACGGAAAATTCGGTGTTAGGGTACATCGACTCTGTAGTCGATCACCCACTCGATACGCGCTCCACCATGGACCCCTCGTTACCATCGACGCTGGGCCGTCTTCGGCGGTCTTCGGACGGATTTCGGCGGTCTTCGGCGGTTTCCAGCGGTCTTTGGCAGCTCCTGTGGGTCTGGGGCGCGAGCACTGGATGGTTGTGTTCAACCACGGGTCCATGATCGAACGCCTGACTGAGAGGTCTGCTGCCCAGGCTTCGACCGGCTGCACGCGAGAGTGGCCAGGAAGGCACGGATGACCTCCCCAGATCTCCGACGATATGGCTATGCCAATCCGGGAGTCCTCCAGCGAGCCCGCCCCCCCCCCCGAGGCCGCCATCGGGCCGAAGGACCCCAGGCGAAAAACTGGCCCCGTGTGAAAGAAAGAGGCCTCAGGAGCCGCGCACTGAAGCAGTCGTAGCGTCGGGTGTCTCGGTTTGGTGCGCGGCTTGCGCTGCATGAGCTGCGGTAGCAGCAGCGGTATGCGTGCATCGGTCTGGTCCACCCTGTGGCCTCTCCCACGTGTGCAGTCGGGGCGTTGACCTAAGGGACCCTAAACAAGGAGCGAGGTTCCTTTTCCCCATAAGTTAAACTTCGATTTCCTATCGACAATATAAGGACAACCTGAGGCAAGCTGTGAAACACTTCAGGAACGCGGAGCCCCGTCCCCAACGAAAAGGGTTCCTTCTTCAGGGCCCCGACTGTAATATATATATATATATATATATATATATATATCCGATGCGGGCGGGTTGGGCTGTTCGGTCATTGCGTTCCCCCTCAATTTTTTGGGCTCGTGCGTGGGCCCCGGGTCCATCAGAACGAATACGGGCGGAGCACACGAGCCCAGGGGAAGACGTCGAGACGTCCTCGGGCCCGCGGGTTGACCAAACTCCGTCCGCCACCTGTCTGGGTCAGAAGGCAGGCGGCCTTCTGAAAAGGACGGGGAAGCTTCTGAGAAGACGGAGGCTTCTGAGAAGGCTTCTCAGTTGGCGGAATGGCGTGCGACGACCACCCGCTCGCGCCACCCCCTTCTGCGCGCCGCCGAGTGCGAGGGAGTTCCTTGCTCGTGTCCACCGCCTCCGGACCGAGCTCCTGACCCATGGACCCAGGACCCCGGGAGGTAGTGGATATGGAGCATCCGTGGGCTCCGCCGACGTCACCAGCACTCCACGCTCGCTGCCTCCCCAGACCCCTGACCTCATGATCTGTTCATCGCGTCGATCCCCGCAGGTCTGGGCCCACTCCCCAGCACCGGCTCTCCATCCCAAGCCGTTGTTCGACGGCCCCGGCGCCCAGTGAGGGCCCCCAGAGGCCAAAAGTTGTCAATCTATCGTCCGTCGTGTGCTTCACACGACGCGAGGGGGCCTGGGTACGCTGCCTCCTGGGGTCCTGGGAATTCGGCTCTCGAGGCCGTGGGCGTAAATATTTGACTAAGACGAAGCCAGGACAATCATAACATCGGGTGAGGATGCAGCGGGCAAATCTTTGCGATGCCGCGGCTCCGGAGGATGTCCCGGGCGCCGTGGCCTCCTCAGAGCGGTCCAGAGCGGCCCGACGTCCCGATGTTTTCAGGCATGGCGTCCTTTGGAAGTCCCGACCCGTTCGCCGAGACCGGCTTTTCGTCCCGAGTCGTTTTTGTTGACGGTCCCGAGGCCTGGCGAGGGGGGCTCCCCGGGCCCCAACATACACTCAAAATTCCTAATAAGGACGCGCGGTAAGGACGCAAGACCCTTGGAAGCCGAAGTTGGGATTTCTGGGGCGGCGGACGACGGAAACCTCAAGGACGCAAGAGCCAAGAAGAGCAAGGACGCAAGGGCACCCTGAGCAAAGTCGCGCGTCCTTATTAGGGTCTTTGACTGTAGCCGAAAACCTCCCGTCCTCCTCCTCCTCCCCCTCCTCCTCCTCCTCCCCCTCCTCCTCCTCCTCCCCCTCCTCCTCCTCCTCCTCCCCCTCCTCCTCCTCCTCCTCCTCCTCCTCCTCCTCCTCCTCCTCCTCCTCCTCCTCCCCCTCCTCCTCCTCCTCATCCTCCTCCTCCTCCTCCTCCGACGCGATCATGTCTGGTGATCGAGGTTGGCACGAGCGAGCCGGCGCGCGGGCCGCCCCCCGGCGGAGCGCCCCCCGAGCCAGGGCGTCCAGAGGCTGTGGGGCTCCAGGCGGCAGCGTGGTGACCCCACCGTGTGGCGAGGCGCCTCCTCCAGGCCTTCCCTTCTCGGGGCGTCCTCAAGAGCTCTCTGAGAGCGCTTCTCGGACTTCTCCGCGTCCTGGCCCAGTCCGAGAATCGTGTCTCGAGGCGGTGGGAGTGCAGGAGGAGGAGGAGGAGGAGGAGGAGGAGGAGGAGGCGGCGGAGGGGAGGAGGAGGAGTTGGAGGAGGAGGAGGAGGAAGAGGAGGAGGAGGAGGAGGATCCACACCACAGCTCCCAGGGTCCCTTCTCGGAGCGCTGTCAAAACTCTCTGAGAGCGCTTCGGACTCATCCACGGCCTGGCCCCGTCCGAGAGTCCCAGCGCTGCGACGCCCTGATTTGTTCAGGACGGCGTCCCTTCGAAGTCCCGACCCTTTCCCCGGGACCGGTTGTTCGTCCCGAATCGTTTCTTGAAGAGGCTCGGCGAGGGCCCCCCGGGGCCGAAAATAGCCAAAAACCTCCCGCCTCGATCTTTCTAACGAGGCGATCATGGCTGGGTCCGCGAATCGGTTCTCGAGGCGGTGGTCGCGCCGAAGCTCCGGCCCCCGGGCCGAGGTCCTCACCACCGCGCGCACACGGAAGGACTCGCCCAGGAGCCGCTGCGCAGCCACCTGGCTGGCCCGATCTAGAGTTGGGTCGGGCACGTCCTCTCACAGGCGGATCTTGGATATTGTTTTCTATCAATCGGGGATGGACAGACCTCCCTTTAGTAAAACGTGGTTTAGTGAAAACGACCTGAGGCCCAAACCTGGCGGGCGCAAGCCTGGAAAATAACGGCCGCGGCGCCATCTCGAGTACCGAACACGGACAATTCACTAATCGACGTGTCACTATTGGGGGTTCTGTCCGCCCCCGAATAAAAAAGAGTCAATACAAATCCCCCCCAAAGCCAGAAGTAGTTGTTGTTTTAATCGTCCCTTGACTATCGTTGGACTATTTTGGAAGGTTCCTCCTGTGGAGGGGCGGGCCCGACTCGACCCTAGAGCCCCCGGATCCAGAAATGTTGACTTCCCACTCCTCGGGGGCTGCTGCGGCGTGTTCGTGCTGCGTCGGCACGCGCAAAAGCCTTCCCAGACATGATCGCGTCGCTAAAAGATCAGGACGGGAGGTTCTTGGCTATTTTCGGCCCTGGAGGGCCCTCGCCGGGCCTCGGGACCGTCAAAAAACGACTCAGGACAAAGAACGAGCCTCGGGGAAAGGGTCGGGATTTACAGGGACGCCGTCCTGAAAAAATCATCACGTCGCATGTCTGGGTTTGACACCTCGCCGATCGTTCAACCTTGAACCGATCGCGGCCCCGATCGTTCAAGGTTGAATTCCGTCGGGTCCAGTGGCGTCACCGTGTTCTTCGGTGCCTCCGCATCGCAGAATGAATGCAACCTTGAACGCATTTGCCGGCTTCGCTGGCGCGCCAACGCTGCATGAACCTACCGCACGGTGAGGGCATTGGAGAAGGAACGATTGGATAAGGAATCCAGGGTCTGGAAACCGGTGGAACACAAATTGAAGCTCGGCCATAGACATCACCGCAGCCCTCGTGAGATACGGAGTCCTCGAGGGACTGACGTCTCCTGGTCGGGAGTTGCTGAAGGTGCCCCTGGCCCAAGATGCCCCGAGCTTTTCGCTCCATTTTGGAGCCCCTCGTGAGGGGTGCTCTGGGGGCCGTGCGGGCCACCTCAAGAATCCTGTGGGCACCTTGGGCCAGCTAGTGATACGAAATACAATTACCCCCAAACCATATGGGAGGGGACCTGAGTTTAGGAAGGCCCCAGAAAATTAGGGGTAGGGGGTCTTTGTTGCAGCTGTCTCAGGCGAGACGACGCACCTGTTCAGGGATAGCCCTACAATCCGACGACCTAATTGTTAGGCCACGAGTTCATTCTGATATTTGGGTTCGGGGTCCCATGACATGCGACGTCCTGATTTTTTCAGGACGGCGTCCCTGGAAGTCCCGACCCTTCCCCTGGGACCAGTTTTTTGTCCTGAGTCGTTTTTTGACGGTCCCGAGGCCCGGCGAGGTCCCCCCGGGCCCGAAAATAGCCAAACACCTCCCATCCTGCTTTTTTTCCCGACGCGATCATGTCTGGGTATGCTTCGTGACGAAATGTTGACGCCTCACTCTGGCTTGTGGCGCATTCCGTCGGCGACCCCTCCGCAGATTCCCCGCCGGCCTGGGTCACAGATCGCCGAAGGCATGGCCCTCCCTTCTTCACGACGCGGCCCCGAGAGGTCTACAGTGGAGGCCAGTCCACAAGAAACCTTCCGCAAGAAACCTAACGCTGAGACCCCAGGACGTCCCTCGATTTTTGGCGTGGGGACGTCGTGCTTTCCATTGCAAAACCATCAGAACCCAAGAAACCCAGGGCACCCTGGAGGCGAGTAGGGTGTTTCTTGGCAGGGGCCTCCACTGTAGACCACCTTTTCTCAGGTACCGGCTTCTCATCCCAGGTAGCTTTTGACGGACCTGGGGCCCAGTGAGGGCCCACAGGAGACATCCCGTCGCGATTTTCGCGACGAGACGGCCCATGATGGCCCCGGGCCCGATACAACGGCCCCCGAGGGCCGAAATCTAAGAAAAATGGCGGATTGAGAAAAACACAGTCGGAGTTATGGCTTCCTGGAGTCGAGCATTATGTCTGAGAGGGGTGTCATTCGTATCTTGCACAGAAGGTCGTCTTTGTTGATTCACACAGTCTCCGGCGCTTCCCCATGAGTAGGGCGTGTGGTTCTTCGAGTCCCCCAGCCGGACATGCCTGCTTAGAGTACGGCCAGCCACCTTGCCCACGTTCCCGGATGCCCCGATGACGACCACGGTGTCACCCTCGGCCAGCTCCCGAAGCTGCGCGGCGGTCCTGCAGGCGACGGCGCCCCTGGCGGGCGCCCGCGGCCTGGTCGGCGGAGGTGCGCCAAACGACGACGACGGCAACGGCGACAGCGACGAGGACGGCGGCGGCGGCAGCGACGGCGGCGACGGCGGCGACGACAGCGACGACGGCGATGCGGCTGTGACGACGGCGTAAGCGGCAGCGGCGGCAGCAGCAGCGGCGGCAGCGAGCCACCGACGACGACGGCAATGACGCCGACGGCGGCGTCGGCAGTGGCAGCGGCAGCCGCGGCGGCAGCGACGACGACAGCGACAGATGGCCGCAGCGGCGGCGGCGAAGCGGCGGCGGCGGCCGAAACTACGACGGCGGCGGCGACGACTTGACGGCGGCGACGACAGCGACGGCGACGGCGGCGGCTGCGAGGCGGCGGTGGCGGCGGCGGCAGTGGTGGCGGCGGCGACGACCTCCACCCGTCTGCCAGGGCCCTCCGAGAAGTCCCCAAGAGGTCCCCGAGAACCCACGGCGAAACCGAGAACGGGCAGCCTGCAGGCAGCCCAGAAGGGCACCGCGAAGCTGCAGCCTCACGGCGCACCGACGCAACCGAGCCGACGGGACCGCGGGGACCCGGGTCTCTGGAGGTCTGCAGGGGGCGACGGAGGA